AACAATTCAAAGGTGAAGCCAATCAAAGGGCACCTACTCGGGAAAATACTGCCCCGGGATCAGTTAGGGCCGTTTGATGGACTCCAAGATGTGAAACAATGGACAAAGAAATTGTCTTTGTGAGCGCTGATGTTCCGAGAGCAAAAAAAAAAAGAGAGGGACTAGCCCAGACCCCGAGGGGCTGCATGCGCCTCATCAAAAGACTCGACAGTCTGTGGTCAGGGGGACGGCCGGACGGCGAGTCAAGACTTCGGCACAAAGAAAGCGTCCGTACAATCAAGAGCCTTGAAATGATGGGTGACCTGTCCAGAAAGAGCCTCGCTATGCTAGCTCGCGATTACGTTTTTCAGAGGCACACGATACTTGACGGAGAGTTACGTGACTCACGCAGGAGCTGGCGCTTGATTGGGCGCGCGCTTCATTCGATTTGACAGCGGCAGCAGGTCAACGGATCCTTGAATGACGGCGGCGCCAACAGAAGGCATCAAGACGCGGCGGGCTAAGAGATCCACGCCAGGAGACAAACCGCTCCGGCGTCAGTGTTCCACCCGCAGCGTGTCTGCGGAGTCCAGTCCGGGTGGCGACGGCGCTCTGTGTCGTGTTCAGGTGTGTTCTTGTGGCTTGCATGCGGCGCGCGGGGGTGGGTGGTCCCAATACGTGACCAGATGGCATTCAAAGGAGCAAACAAGCACCTTCCATTTCCACTCTCTTTAGCCAACACCCATTTCCGCCGCGCTGTTATCGGCGCACACGCACACAAACGCACGGAAACACACGGCTGGCCGTAAAAGCCCATGCGCCGCGTGCTCAGTGACCTCGGTGCACCTCATGACCCGCAGATGGAAATATGCCCCTTCACCCACTCTTTACTGGCGGCAAAGTTGAGGAATAGGCGGAAAATGTACTTGGTGCAACGGGGTTTTGGTTACCTGCGTATGACACTTTAAAATTTGACATCAGCGGAACTTTCACTGAAAAGTAACACGACACTCATAGACACGGCCTCCTTTGAGGCGTGGCCAAATGTTTGGGCTGACAACAAATGAGTCAGCCAAAAAAAAAAACTGCAAAATGTTACCCAGCAATACCGGGGGGCCGTGTGACGTTTCTTGAACAAGAACAGCGGAAATATCTCAGTGCTCATCTCGCAGCGTTCGGCCAAGAAAGCAAGACAACAAATGGGACGGGCGCCCTGAAGCGGCCGCTTTCCTTTCGGGAGCGTGCGATCACTTTGTCCAAGTTCTCGCCGTACTGGCGTAAAACTCAGCAGCAGACCCCAAAAATACAAATAAACAGGGCGGGTGTGGGGAATCTGCACTCTCACACTGCGGGGCAACGTCAACATTAGCAGAACAATCACAATAGAAGCAGACCCGCTGCATGAATAAGAGATCAATATCCGAAACGCAAAAAAAGGAGGAGCACTGGCATGTGTCACACCCAGAAACAGATGTGAGGGTCACTTGTGTTTTTTTTTTTCTTTTCATGGAGTTAAATGCAGGAAAAAGAAGTGGAGGAACGCCCATGATGTTCCATAACAAGGGAGCTCAAAATATTTAACATGGCTGACTTTCCAGTTCATCACAACTGTGGAACAAAAACGCGACATAGTCAAAATGCGACACGACCTTCTTGAGCATTTCGACTCGGGCAGAAGTGAGAGTCGCTGTTGCTATTTTTAGTCGAGGAGAAGCTTATCAACGACATCGGTTCTACCTCAGGCCAAAAGACATTAGCATGCAGAGTGGGAACCTCCAAAGCCGAGTCCACATTTTGGGGAAAGACGTGCCTCCAAAAAAAAAAAAACCCTTCAAACAAGACATGCAACTCTAAACCGTGGCCGTGTGTGAGACTTCAGCTCCGTAAGCATCTCCTACTTTGGGGGTTCCCCTGTGTCAGAGATTTTCTCGGACAAAGTTAAAGAAATGACTCGGCACACAGGAAAATTGTCTTCAATATCGGCGGGAGGGGGATCTCTGAGAGCGAACGACGGTAATTGCTCCGATGATCACAATCTCGAGCTCCCTTCCCGCCAGTTCCGACTTTTATTGTAACATACAAGGAAAACACTGCCCCCGACATTTGCATACCGCACCCCGGTCCGGCCCCTCGGTGGTGATTGGTTACCTGTTTTTTAAACTTGAACCACCAGTACGTTGGCGCCTTTTCTGTCTGGTCTACATCGAATTAACATGTTGCAGACTTTGCGGATGGCCAATGTCGCCTGGGCGCGACGGGTGTTCTCAACTCGTCTTTTGTTGTTCAACCGCGGTTCCCGAATTATTCATTCCCCTTTTGTGACCGAGTTTCGCCCTCTCCCCTGTGATCGCCCACCTGCATTGACGTGCTAATTGTGGACTTCAACCGTCCTCCGGCCAGGTGGCCGGCACCTTTGTGTACAGGTATTTGGGGGTGCTGGATATGCACCCAAACGTTTAGATGTTCCCAAATTAAATGAAACTTTAAACATGATACAATTTTGCTCATAGATTCCTCTAACACCCTGTCATGTGACGCTCAAAAACAGACGACGCCGTCATCATCAGAAGAAAACAAAAGTCACTTCCTAAACTTCCTTTCACGCACAATGGCTGCGGGCAGGCCACACAACAACAAAGTCCTCCGCTCGGTGCCGAAAACAGTTTCTTAAGGAACTCACAAATTGTTCTAAAACGACGCATCCACATGAACTTCAGCTACTAGTGGTCTTTGGAGCTATCACCTCCACTCTTCAGCCATCAGATTTCCACAGGAAAGATGCAAGAACTGTGATAGTGCTAAAGTTTTGGTCGGCGCCACCCAGCCTACCACAGGCCACATTTGCAGAGGAAAGGAAGAGGAAAAAAAAAAACGGGGAAGGGAGGGAGAAATTGGGAAGAAAGCTGGACTGGACGGTATTATCTTAACATTCTATGCTAGATGTGCAAAGATCTTGCGGCTGAGAAGGAGAAGGAGGAGGAGGAGGAGGAGGAGTCAGTGGCGTGCAACGTAAAGCTGTGCAAAAATATTTCGGCCCAGTGTAAGAGAAAAAAACATGGACTACATTTGTTCTTTGGCATTTTGCTTGTGGGTGGTTTCATCACACGAGAGCAAATGTCCTTACACTTGATCCATTTTCAGGTTGATTTGGCTGCACCTCGATCCTTTTTCATGGTAAGGACACACAGTGCAGCACCACAACAGAGCCACCATAACCACACTTTTTTGGCGAGGTTTTTCTTCCACTGGAACTCTGCACTTTGATCACTTTTGTGAATTTTTTAAAAAGGCACTTTTGGACGCAACATTGCTTTTGGGGGGAAAAATCTCATCTTTCTGTTTGACAATGGCGCAGAGAATCGCCACAAGAGCAAGTGCTACATTCACAAAACTTTATAAAATTTCAGTTTGACGATGGCCCAGCCAGAGCCCAGAAGACACCGACGTCATTTTACCGATTCGGAGAGCTACGGGGAGAATATTGCAGATTCTAGATCAAAACACTTCGCCTAAATGACATGGCGGGGAGGGGGGGTAGATATATATTGAATGTGTTCACTCCCCATATGCGTCGTATTTACCACGCACGGCTCTACACAATGACAACACGATGGGTGCGTGCAGGCCAGTTACAGCTGCTCCACAAAAACAAAACCACCCCGCCAATATAAACGGATTGGGGTGGCGGCAGGAGGGGTAATCATCAGACAACATCTTCCTGTTAAAATATATGACATGTAAGAGGCAATGAGGACGCTATCGTGTGTCATACAGCACAAAGCATGCGCGATACGACCCGACTGTTCGTGAAAGTCCATCCACTCGTGGCTTGAACAGACAAATCGGGGAAGTGCAAATGATAGCCCTTGTTTTGTGTGAAGCGTTGTGAGAGACGATGCTTTCTTTTGGCCTGGCCATCGACACGACAGTGCGGCTGGGGTCAGCCATCGCACGGGGCTCCGTGTTTAGCTAACCCATTGTTTGTTTGCTTGTTTTTTTTCCCCCCCAGCAAGATAAAAGTCAGCATCTGCCGTGATTTATTTATTTTAAGGAGGGTAGAATTGCTTCAAGACACGTAACTTGTGGGAGGCACTGCTAATGAAATCGACGTCCATGGATGAGCATCTGCGAGGCGACTTCCCTTGTCGTCCTCCACTGATTTTCGCTGTGGTCAACTTCACGTGCGCCTCGGCGCTCGACTCACAATAGGACGCCTTTTTGTTTATATCTAATGACTAAAAGTGAGGCGTTCTCGCGTCGCGATATGTCTTTGCTGTCCCGTTACGTGTGTTTGGTTGCGAGAGTGGAGCCCAGCCCTACCGTTGCTGCCGCAGTCACGCCCGGCTCCGGCCTCTTCTCCCGCGGTTGCTCCTCGCTAGTGAGCCGGCAGCGGCCAGAGAGGGCCGTCCTGCAGATTTCACCAAATTTCAACACATTCCGGGTGTGGCTTTTCAAAATGAAAGCACACTGAACGTAACAGCACAAAGGATCCGGTCGCCGTGTCCCATTTTATTCGCGATGCTTTTGTTTTATTGTGAAAACATCAACTCAGTCATTTCTTGTTTGTTACGTTGAATTGACATAGCTTTTCAGTCGCCTTGAGCGAGCGCCTGCGTCGACACTTCTCGCGGTGGCAAGGATGCTTCCAACTCAAACCAGAAGTTCCGCCAGTCAGAACCGCGTGGGCGGGTTTCCTGCTCGCAATGGCCACGTTTAAAATCCCCTTCGTACAGTATGAGTATTGCATCTCCGACTGGGAAGCCCCGCCGCTTTCTAATTTGATCAAAATAACCAATACAAATGTCGTTTTCGAATGGATGGCTCTACGTTAAGAATGGGCAAAAGGAGAGATGGACTTCGTTTGAACGCATAACAAAACGTATCAGTCGTGATCTACCAGTCACCACTAAGTAACATATTACGATAATAATATGGAATTGTGATTTTTCACAACTCGGTACAATTGTATATTGCATTTATATTTCAAAAGAGCGGCAATTAAAATGTGAACCTCAAATCACGTCCGTTGTGTTTGACGGTGACGTAATCACGTTAGACTATTGTCAGCGTCAGGGCACTCAGTGTATAACGGACGTTTACGTGCCGGCCGGAGGGCGGAGTGCTTTGTTTGCATTCAATGTGTCACATTAAACTGCGGTTTTTGGGGCTAATTTGTTTTGCAGTATGGCGGTGTTCAAAAGAGCTATCCAACTACTTGCACATTCACGTCTTTATTTCCTTAGGATGCCCGTCAGCTCGATTGTACCGATATTACAATCAACAAATTCAATACGTGAACATAAAAACTCGAAAATACTTACATTTATCTATGGCTACAATACACCAACATAGTCATCACATATCTGTAATGAATAAACACTCTTTCGTTTGAGTATCACCGGTGATCCGGTTGACCGTGCGGAGAAATCGAACACGCCCGTCTAATTTGAAGTCGGAGGAGGGGCGTGTTCGTGCTCTCCGAGCAGCGAATGAAAAAACCAACAACATGGACAACCAGCGGGACGTTCAAAATTCGAAACGAAACTCAAATTCCACCCTCGTCATGTCGGGTAGCTCCGCGGTGGCCATGGAGATTAAAAGGAAGAAAATACGACGGAGCGCATTATTCCAGGAAGCAGAGGTAAGAAAGAACGCGGTATTGTCCAATTGCTTCTGTTTGATTGGACGGACACGGGTTGACTGGACCGAAATCAAACGAAACAAAACGAGCGCCTGCCAGTAGAATCGCGAACGACATCGCCCCGACATAAAATGGTGCTTGAGCGCCAGTAACTTCCAAGGATGAATTTGGTTCGTTCATTAAACTTCAAAGGGGGCCTAGCGTCACAAATCCAACACCGTTGGAAGACGGGCGCCCATCTGAACTCAGAGCGAGCTGAGTGTATTCATCGCTGTCTTCGACATAATAATAACACAGTAACAAAGCTCTTGACATGACACCGAAGGATTACACTATGTCCAGCGAGGCTTGTGTTAGTGAACATTCTTCAGCGAATGCTTGAATAAACTCTCTCTCTCTCTCTCTCTCGCTATTACGTATATATTAACGTGATTGGTATTTTGTGTCAAACTTCTGTGAAGCACGTTTTTTTTTCCCGTTGTGAATGCGCCAGATAAATCAAGGTGTCTCGTTGGTGAACTTTGCCCCTTTTCACCGTGTCAACCGTTCTCCCGCCAGAACGCCGACATTCAAGCGAAGCTGGACTTTGAGGTGCGGATGCGAGAGGGCGCCTACAAGCTGCTGCGGGCCTGCAGTAAGAGAGAACCGATGCTCAGCGCCTCCAAGAACCTGCTGACCTGCAACGCCAGGATCGAGGCGTACATGGGGCACATGCAGGAGACCAAGGAGAAGCGCAATCTGACGGGAGAGCTCAGCAGGTACCGGATGCAGCTTGCGGTCCCATCGAGTTCAATCTCCATTTGGTCATGCGAGGCATGATCGGGGTTGGCAATTTGCTCCGACCTTCCTTTTGGTGGTTGGAGTTTGGAATGCGAAGCTTGACAAAAATGAAATAGTCCCACGGAACGAGCGGAACGAAGGAAGAGTTCGGCGGCCCTTGAATACGCGCGTATTCACCTGACGCGAATCCGTACGCTCATCTTCATTTTGAAACGGACCACCTTTTTTTTTTCCGAATCAGAAAAGATACCAAAGCGAAGCAAGCATTGAACGTGGATCATTTCCCTTTTCTCCTCCCCTAACCTTGATTCAATCCAACACACTCTGCAATCGCTGAAGCGTTTTGTCGCATTTATTGTCATAATCATTTAAAAACCCGATTCTTAAAATGTATTTTTCTTTTTCTTCAGCGATTCAGATGCGCGCGTGCCATGTCGAGGAACACTTGCTCTGTCTGGTGAGTTGACTTTCGAGTTTTTTGGTCAAAGAAGAAAGAGCAGGCGCTCGATTTCAGGCCGATTCCTAAAATTGAGGCTTCCCTCTGTCGCAGGACTTCGTATTCCGCTCATGTGGAAGGACCAGGATCACTTCAACAACAGGGGAAGTGAGTTGGTTCTGCTTCTTTGATTGCCTTTCCTACTTTGTCTGTTTTTGTTCTTCCTCACTTTCTGCCCCCCTCCCACTGTGGTGCAGGCTCGCGGCGGGTGGCCGTCTTCTGCGTCATGCGGATGGGCTGCCAGGTGGTGGACACCAAGATGGCGGTGGTGGACAGATCGGTGACGGACGTCTGCTTTGAAGAAGTCGCCGTCTTGTAAGCGCGCCGCCGCCGCCGCCTGCAAATGGACGTTTGGTGTCAGTTTTGGTGGTTGTTCCCATCACAATTGTGACACCAAGCCTTCCTCTCGTGTTGGGTCATTGTGAAACGGTTGCCGCAGCCAACTGGAGTGATTCCCAGACAGTGTGCCGGCACACACCGCCGTGCGCCAAATTTCACTGACATCGGTCTGAAAATGTCCTTCAAGGAAGATATCTTTGTTCCTCGGTCAATGGCGGCCATCTTTGGTGACGGGCTGAGCGATGAAACGCTCTTCCGCGAGATAGCAGCGGGCGCATAGCAAGGAGCTGGGGACAATCGCTTTTTGTTCAGCCGTGAGAGATTTGTCCCCAAAGTCTTCCCAAAAACACAGCCGCCCTTTTCACATGCCTGTCAGATCCACAAATATTTGGGCGAGCAAATTATTTCTTTCCCCGGAGCTTGTTTTTGCCTTGACGCGGACGACTTTCTTCTCTTGCGACCTCGAGCGCGCGCCGCCAATCCAAAGTCCTGCTCAATGCACCACACTGCATTGTTGGCAAATATCTTTGTGGATCTGAACAATGGGATGGTCACAGATGCATGTGTGCATCTTTATATACCGGGTATATAGATATATTTTTGGGGGGGGTAGGGGGTGGTCACCTTCAAAAGTTGCAGCATTTTGCTCCTCGGATTGATTCGGAATTTGACATCTGTTGTAATCTCGAACGAGCGGCCTTATTTCTTGCATGCAAAGTTTCCAACGATTGACAAAGGTGAGCAAAGCGAGGTGGTCGGATGTACCTCAAGGTCCATTGCGCCTCATGTCACGGCAGTGAAGATGCGCTTCCCGGGTTTACGCTGCGGGTGGAGCTGTGGAGCTGCGCCGCGGAGGACGAGCTCACGCCGGCCAACACGCCGCGGAAGCTGGCGAAGAAGCTGCGGAATTCCTTGGGCAAGAAGTGGCGCCCTCTGCCGGATACCCCCGACCCCGACGCCTTCCTCCAGTCCAACCCGCTGCCGGCGTACGTATCGCCTTCCCGCCCGCACCCTCTCGGCTTTGCTCTCGGGCGTCCGCTCGTGCGAATCCCACCCGGGCGCCGGCCGGACCCGCGACGTCCGCTCGCCGAGTGACTTTGTCGACAAGCGACGGAAAGCCGCCGCGGCCGCAATCAGGCATCCCCGATGCCCGGAAGCTTGACATTGTGCGTTTGTTGTCTGTTCCAGAGGTGCCGAGTACCATCTGCTGGCCTACTCCACGCTGACGCTGCCCGCCGCGGAATGCAGCTTTCAGTCCCACTCGCTGGTCGTCCTCCAAAACTGTAAGAAATCGATTTCTATGATCTATGTTTCTCCCACTAGCGACGCGCTTCGGAGTCGAGTTTTAGTTGCGGTTGAATCGCCGATCCCGTTTGGGCAAATCCGTCGGCCTTCCCGTTCGGGCCGTCACGGTCAACGCGCAAGTGAGGAAAGAGAGTTCCGGGCCTCCTCGTCTTCCAAAAGCGCACCGTGTAGATCGGAGGCAGACCTGTGGGGCTGTTGACAAATGCTCGTGGATTTGGTTCCCGCCCCTGGCCCCCCGGCCCCCCTTCCAATAGCTTACATCCACATGAAAAAAGCCAAGGGCAAAACATTGCGCACGCCTGCAAATGAACTCGGGTTGCGACTCACCGTCCGCTCACGGACTTTTGCCCGCTTTGCTCCCCTTCAGCCGACTGGTCGTCGTGGCTTCCCCTTTACGGCAACCTGTGCTGCCGCTTGGCGGCCCAGCCGGCGTGTATGACGCAACGCGCCATGGCCGGATACCTCGACCTCAAGGTAACCGCCGCCGCATTTTGGCTTCTGTGCACCGTTCGGCGCGCCGGCGTACAACGTGATGCGCTCTTCCCTCTACAAGTAAAAAAAAAAAAAAAAAAAGGGACTATTTCAACGCATGACACTGTTTCATTCAGAAGAAATGCCGAGTAAGATATGAATGTTGTTGATTTGGAAAACTGGACAGAGCGGCAGTTGCGCCCATGCAAATTGTTTTTGTCTTGCCAGCCGAGCGCAGAGGCCCCGGTGCCCCGCCGCCTCTTCTGCGTGCTGAGCGCCGCCACCTTGTCGTGCCACTTCGGCCCGGAGGAGCCGGACGCCGAAGCGCGGCCGGCGCTGCGCCTGCCCGTCAATAAGGTGGGCCGCTCACCTTCACGGTGGACGCGCTTGTTGATTGAAAATGTCAACGCCGCGGAAGCAGCACGCTCAAAATTGGTTTCGGGGGGGTCTGGATGTCGTACAACTTCCCAAAATCCAGATGGATGAAATTGTCATGAGCGGGCCGGAAAAGCCAAGTTTGCGGTGCCCTCCCCCAAACTCAAAAGTTCCTTCCTTTTGGCTCTTTTTTTTTTTTTTTCCTTTTCATGCCGGTCTTTTGAACGGCTGCTGCAGGACACCCGCATCCGAGTGATGGAAAAGCAGTCTGGGGGGGAGAAGTTTCGGAGCCTGTCCATCATCAACCCTTCGCCAGAGGGAACCCGGAGCCAGGTCTTCACGGCCGACACCCCGGAGCAGTTGGACCGGTGGCAGGAAGCGCTGCATCAGCACCTCTACGATCAAAGTGAGCCCCGTTGGCGGATAAGCGCGCCCCGCTCGTAAACGGCGTTTGGTCTAGCAGGCGCGTCCGCGCGCTCGAACGGCCGTCTTGTCGTCGTCCTCCGCAGGTCGGTGGCTGCACTGCTGCGAGCGGCCCGTGACCATCGAGGCGGCGTCGCCGCGGAAACCGTCGCTCTTCCTCGCCAAGCCGGCCGACTCCGTTTACAACGACCTCAGTGAGTGTGCCGCGTGTGTTCTTTGGACAGACGCGAGTCACACACGAGTCTTGACCGGGTGTGGTCCTTGCAGGCATCAATTCTCCGGGCAAGTGCGAGAGCGTCACTGACATCATCCGCAGCAAGATCCAGGAGTCCAACGGCCGCTTCCTGATTGGTGACCGGGAGGCCGGGGAGCCTCCTAATTGGGCCGCTCTCTTTGACGGCTCCCCCTCGTTTGAATGGCGGCGGAAGACGGGACCGCCGTTCTGTCCCGGAGTCAAACTCGCAGCCCGCTTTCAAGCCCCAAACTGCGCTCCGGCGCCACTCCCGACAGCGGCAAGAAACGGCGTGCGCCGCTTCCTCCCACCGGCCCCGCCGTGCCTCCTCCCGCTCATATCCCTCGACCTGAGAGACCTCCTCGTCCTCGTCCTTGTCCTCCTCCTCCTCCCCTCTCACACCCGCAGAAGGAAAACACTTTGCGGGCCAAGTCCAAAACCGGAAGGCGGTCCCTGGATGCCAAATTCTCCGCCATCGTCCAGCAGTTGCAGCACAACGCCAAATACGGAGGCGGCCTTCCGGCGGCGGGCCGCAAGAACGCGCCGCTCGGCGTCGACGGCGTCGCCGTGCCGAGGAGCCGTCTGAGGGAGTCGTCCCGAGAGAGGAGCCGCCTCAAAGCCGGCCTGGAAAGCTGAATTGCAATTCATCCGGACCAGCCCGTCCAGCGGGATGCCATTTTAGGTTTGTCCCGTTCACGAAACGAGAGACGGGACGCGCTCCACACAAAGATGCCATTACGACGAGAAGTCTGAGCGGGGGTGTGCTCAAGACCGGACAGCATTTCACTTTTAAAAGGGGGAGGAACAGAAATGCAACAGACCCCTCAGGAGAATTGACGGCCGATAGAAATGCAGTCAACACTTTTTTTCTTGAATAACACCGTACATTCTGGAACAAGCAGGGAGAAGCTGCCCATCAGTCTTTTCCACAGAAAACTTGCTTGACTTCCCCCCTAAAACTACAAAAAAAGGAAGGAAAAATCAGCGAATCCATGTGTGCCATCGTGCGAGTATGCGGGGGTCCACTTTCAAATGGATTTTCACGAACATGTTGCTTTTATTAACAATGTCAAGTCATTGATTCTTATTTTTAGTTTGCATTATTTGTAATTAGAATTCATTTGGCAGTTATCATAGTAGAAAAAGTACAATTGTTTAGTGTGCTCTTACACTGACAGGCCGGAACCAATTTCTGTTCAATGAGATGAATGAATAAATACTTGACTGCAAAATCAGAAAAAAAACGAGCTCTGCATTGCATCGCACAAAGAGGACACGTCAGAATTGAGCAGCAGAAAACACGTTCAAGGTGCAGTGAACGTAGTTAGCGCAGCACAAATACAAAAGAAAAATTGTGGACATGAAGCAAATCTGTTGACTTCCGTTTGATTATTTACGACAGGCTCATTCATCTGCCATTTTTTTTGTCAGTGAATCAGATCAACAAACAACAAAAACAGGACATCGTTTCAAATGGACAGTGGCGAAAATGCACCAACGTGATTCAATGACTGGTTTGGTTCATTAAAAAAAAAAAAAATAACAAATGCGAGCACCCATGACTGCAATGAAATATTTGCAAAAGTCAACTTTATCACAAGAGCGCTACTCCGCGTATCCAACAAAATTCAGCTGCAGCTCTGCTTACCTGTTGGCTGAGGGGCCGAGGGTCGGTCTTGGGCGGGTTTTTCTCCGTGGCCCTGGGTCTTCAGCCGGCCCATCTGATCCTGGGATGTTTTGACGTTGGTTCAGTCCGCCCTTTCTAAAACACGTCTTGGGAGCATGATGATTGATTCACGACATACTGGGAGAGTCACTTTGAACAAAAATGCGATTTCTTCACTGTAAACAGAGGGAATGCAACACGATTTCACGTACCATGTTTTTGCGCGATGCAGTGCTCTCTCACAAAGGGGGACGGGGGGGGGGGAGATCAAGAAGGAAAAAAAAAAAGACATTCACTGCCGGTTATCTGCACCGGAAGGAATTGCTTCATGTACCACTTACCATGTTATAATGGGATACTTGGAGATATTTTTTCCTCCTGGTGAGGAAGCAATACACTTCCAAAGGATCAGTCAAAATGCTCGTTTCAGCCACAGGGCGGCAACAAAAGTACTTTTTTTCACGTGTCACTCAGAAAGATCCACAATCAGAAAGATCCGCTCGTCTGACCCTGCAGAGCGGCAAGGGAGGAATCGCACAGGCCGCAAAAGCCAATTATGAATCATGGACGCAGCCCATTCACAACCGCGCGGCCACACACACACACACACAGAAGCCTTTTAGATAGTAAAATATTTTAATTAAATATACAGGAGGTCATAGCATAAAAAAAGTTTCATTTTTTTGTCTCTGCCAGCTGGCTGATTGGTAAACATATGGCTACTGTATCAAAAACACTTTTTTGAGGATGCACAAAAAAAAAGGAAAAGTGAAAACATAACAACTAATGCTTAATTGCAAAACGTAGTGTTTGTTAGAGGCTAGATTGTGTGTAACCGACTTTTTTCTTTCACGCGTACGCACAGATAGATACTGCCTTTGATGCTATTTACAGATTATAACAGTTGGGATAGGATCACCGCCACTCTCGCCTGAGCGCGGTGCGCTATCTACAGTGCTATTTATTTACACACGCACGCACACACACACGAAGAGAAGATGCCGACAAAGACAAAAGAGAAGGAAAAGGTCAAACTGATTGATCCCGTGTTTGGATTTGCCCCCCCCCCCCTTCAGCCAGTGCTGGTTGATTGGGACAAACAACACGAAGGTATTCAACCTCCTGATGAAGCACCATGTCCTCGCACGCATTTTCTACTCGCTGGCAACACGGCTCGCGTGCTCCCAGTAAAGTACTACTTGTGAAGTGCTCGACGTCAACTTGCAGCACACAATTTTGTCAAGCGGCGCGCAGCTCCGCCTCCATGTCGGTTGAAGAATACTCAAATCTCTTTGATCTCCATCTTTCCAACAGCGCACGAGTACGCTCTGCGCGCACGCGCGCCGGCTGGACAAATGAGTGTACCGGTAATCCAAGTGTTTGTTAGTGGCAATTGCGCGACTCATATCGCCTTTGCTCAACTCGCATACAACCAAACCTTACTCGGACACGACTAGTCCAAAGTAGAAGTCACGGGTCACACACTAGTAGCCTCCTCTTGTCCAAGCAGCACCCAAATGCCCGCGTTTTCTGATGAGTAAAGACAATTGGGCTCCCTCGACCGCAGGGCCAGCGCAGAGTCCAAGCCAGCCAGTGACGAATGGCCGAAGGGCCCCCGTAAAGACGAAGTGAGAGCACAGAATGGATTTTCACCCGTCGAAGCAGCACTTCAGCTCCAGTTCAACGTGCCAATTTCGGGCAGCGTTGACGTATGAACTCATGTAAAGGGGTCTCTTTTGTGCAAGGGTGTTGCGGCTATTAGGTGAAGCCCCCGCAAGATGAAGTCAGAGCATCATTTGCATTTTCACGGGTGGGCGCGGCACTTTATCACCGAGCCGCCTAATTGCATTTGTCAATTTCGCGTGAACGCATCCGTGCATGCGGCCGACTTCTCACATCACCAACACTAACTTTCGTGATCACGACGGCGACGACCCGAGAGTACGCCTAGAGAAAATATAAGGCGGCGTATTTTCACTTGCGAAGGCAGCACTTCATGATCTCGTGGCCGAGAGCCAAGTTGGATTTTTTTTTGGGTGTGTCGTTTTGTTTTTTTCGTAATGCGCCTCTTTTTAAGTGTAAATGATCACACCCGTCACAGTAAATTGTTGGATCTCGGCACATGTAAACGCGAGCATCCAGCATTTCCAAACGCCTGCAACCTCCCGCCATTTAGTGCTTAGAACATTAACGCCAGAGACGGGCAAAAGGCACAAGTATATCATCTTAAGTGACCACATTCTCATGAAAAAAAAAACAGACTGGATCTTTTTTCTTCTTCAGCGTGTTTGGACTGTCATCTTCTAAAGTAAAAGTCATTTTCAAGTCATGAACACAAGAGGCGATGAAATAGGCTGAGTGTTCCGCAGCAGGTGGCTGCTTCACTACGCTCGTACGACGCCCCCCCCAAAATACTACGAATAATCCAAACAATTTGCCACATTCATTCATGCGAAATGAATTTGGACATGTCCTGGCCCACAGCGCCTCAAGTGGCTCCTTTTGTCAATGCGCTCTAGCGCACGGTGCCAATGGAATCGCTATGGGCGCTTTTCCATGCGACTAAAAACCCGCCCGAAGCAAGATGAAGCGGTTCGTCGCTGGCTCAGTAGACTCGGTGGTGAAAACGCCAACGTGAGCTTCGATTTGCGGCGACGCATTCTCAGCGCGGCTGCGTGTTTATTTTCGGAGTACTTTTTGTCAGTTTCAAGTTGCCGATACTTGAGCGGCCGTTGTCTTTCACTCAACCGTCCTTCTCCATTTTTGTCACTTGATGGCGGTTCTCGTTTCCCAACGGCACTCGATCCGTTTCCTGCGGCGCCGCGGACGAAAAACGCCGAACCGCAAACCGCGAGCGTACCGCGCAGCGGAAAGGCGTCGACAAAAGCGGAGCCGCCCGACGCCGGCGACGACCTATTTTGGCGACTCCCGGTTCGGCAAGTTCCCGTTGTAGTGTTTCAAGCGACACGGTTTTAGCCCTCGGACGCAGGAAACCAAAACTCCAGCCGACGGAGAGTCCGAAGCCGAAGTGAGCACATCCACGTCAGAATTGTGCAAATAAGGACACAAAGAAAAAGATACAGTCAGTGGTGATAAAAATACAGAACAGTGCAAAGGATATAAACCAACGTATCAACTAATACCGAAAAACAAACCATAAAGATCGATCTGTATCGAGATGGATACGTATCTGGATCCAGATCGATCCAAATGGAATTTTCTGTCTGTCTCACAGAAGAGTTTGACAATCAGTCTGGGCCCACCCGGTGACGGAGCTGCTGCCTTTGCTGGGCGGGGGGGGGCACAAGCCAGGTGTGCCCCTCACAGTCTCGTGCTGGGGTGTACCGACGACAGCTGTGGCGGAGGGAGGGTGGAAAGCGGGTACAAGTGGTGCAGCAGGTCCCCGTAGAGGGCCGCCCCGCCCGGGTGCCTGAAGAAGTGGTGCGGGCCCCCCGTGGCCGAGGCCAGAAGCTGCCTGTGGAGCAGCATGGAGTGGAAGGCCAGCGGGGGCACCAGGGGCGACACGGCCGACTGGCTCTTCAGGTACTGCAGGCCCGGGTGCCGCCGCAGTCCGTCCTGCGACAGCGGGCCGCCGGGCGGGTACATGCCGGCGTAGAGGGGGGCGGCCCGGGGCAGCGGGTAGGCGCCGGCGGGGAGGCGCTCGTCCGTCAGGTGC